CCCCAAAACCCCAAAACCCCAAAACCCCAAGAGTCTTAAATTTAAAAATTCGAAATGAAAAACTTTATAATTAAAGTATGTTTCTTAAAAATAGAATTCAACTAAAAAGGTTATATATATCGCTAATAACGTGCTTCACATTACTGTGCTTGAGTTAAGCTTTCCATAGAGATGATTTATAATATGACTATAATCTTGAGAAAATCATAAATAAAGAAAGATTTCTTTAGACAGGCTCAGTAACTACTTATAGTGGATGCAAGACATGCATAGACTAAAATTAGATTTTCTGTGTTCAAAACACTTAGAGGTCTGGTTCATGTCTATCGGCAGCTTAAAAATCTGCAGATGTAGAAATCTGCTCTTCAGATGCAGGGTAAAATAGGAATTTTTCATACTGGTCGTGTCCTGTTGACTATTTATGTGGGGATTTAGTATAATTAGGTGACGTTAACATGACTATTTAAAATGTAACTCCGTCTACTTCTTCTAATTTAGTCAGTGGTACTATTTGCAAATACCTCTTCAGAATGCCTCCTAAAGCAGGTCCCAATGATTATATGATAGTAAATACAACAATAATGCAGAGAGCCATAGCAATTGGTCATATTGCTTAAACATATCTAGAGCCTTAACTAAATGAGACAGTATTTATAAATTCAACAACTAGCTCAATAAAAATCAAATACCCATTTCAGATGTTTATGACTGTATATGGAAACAGCACATTTAAGGGTAACTTTTAATTTAAGTATCAATTCATTGACATGCCAGGTCCTGATGGAAATACTCCTCAGACCAATTCACGTTCAAGCTCAACTACAGATGAATTCTCATTACTAAGTATTATTCTAATAGCTGTTTTTGTCCCTGTTGGAGTAATATTAATAACCTCAGTAATCGGTCTACTTATTTACTTTCACCGTAAAAACACAAAGCTTAAGAGGATAAAATAATTGAAATCGAATTCTAAAGTCAAGGAACCCGAAAAAATTCCAGAAAAAGGAATCAACTTCGCCAATGATGAAGAGTATTTTAAAATGATTTTGAGTTAAAAAATAAGAATGGAGTTAGGTTTCGATGGAAGTGGGAATAACAGTCTCTCAGGTAATGCTAATTTCTTGGGCAATAATTAAGCAGGTACCACTCTAGATAATAATTCTGTTGGCTCGGATTTAAAAATGCCGCTCTAAAAAACTGATGCTCTCTAAAGCGATTTTGGGGACTAAAATTCAAATGAAATGTATAAACTTAAGACAGCAACACCAGAAGACTTAAAAAATAAAAACTTGAAGCAGTATCCTTCTCCAATTAATGATTAGAAATATAATAAAGTATAATAAGAACCATAGGTTTAAACATAGAATATATCAAGATAAATTTCCAGTGTGGTTCCGCATTAATAACAATAAACTAAGACAATATCAAGATAAGTGACTGGCTAGGAAGTTAACTATGATGATCAGAGAATTAAAAGAGCACCTACTAATGTCATGAGTATCTAGCAAATCAATCAATAGTATTCAAATTAGAACAATAATTCATTACCTCCTATAAATGTCAAGGGTTCATCTTTGCCACCAATATCCTTTAACAACAAGAATTAATTTGGAGATTTAATGCTTCAAGAAGCTGATGATGATCTTTGAATCAAGAAGACTTTTTTAAGTTAAGGATCGGATTGGAATCATAAAATTATTAGGACATATGGTATTTAAATTTTACATTCATCAACTTATTATTCAATATGTCTAACTTACTAATAAAAACTAAAATTCCCTATACTTTAGAACCTAGGGGTTTTGGGGTTTTGGGGTTTTGGGG